CTGTGGTGTTCTTTACCAGAGCAGGAGAGGCAGCGACAGTTTGCTTGTTAAATAATAAAATCCTGTATGGACGATGCATTCTGTTGCCTGCGTAAACCACAAACCCATGATGCAACAGTGGCCCTTTGATTAATGTTTGTTTTTGATTTATCGGATAAATGGCCACTACAATGGTGTTTATCCCGTCAAAATATGGAAAAGTGGAACGGCAGAAGCCATTTTGCTTCTTTGCATCACAATATGTTTTTTCAAAACCGTGTGAACTCAGCCTCCCTCTTTTATTCCTTCAAACACCTTCTTTAAAAGGTCGGCGTTGAGATATTTGTGCATATCCAAAAACCTGTTGTTATCCAAGTCCTTCATAACCCTTAAAGGCAGGTGTGTTTCTCCTTTTTTTATTTTAGACACGCATCTCTCCTTCAGCTTTGCAAACTGTCGGCTGGCTGGTTTGTGTTCAGCTCACAGAGCTGCTCGTAAACAGCAAAGAGGTTGTGTGTCGCAAAGCGCCGCAAAACAAAAACCCGTCGAGACGCATATTCCTAATGCGATGCGTACGTCCAAAGAATGCTCATGAAACCAGAATAACGTCGGCATATCACAGAACGTCTTAGTCGGAAAATGCTCCATTCGGAATAAGAGCTAATTAGGAATAGCCAAACGGAATATGATGTTTACATGAATCATATCCAACTCTGAATATTGTCTTATTCAGAATAATAGTGGAATATTAGTGTGTAAACTTAGTTACTGTTGTTTCTTCATCACCATGAACAAACACATTCGTTTATTCTGACTCGCTCACTCACACACACACACACACACACACACACACACGCACACGCACACACTCACACACACACACACACACAAAATGTGGATTAATCCGCCGCTGAATATAGTCCCCAACAAAGGCACTATTTCCTCCTGTTTGTTTGATTTAAACCTACAGTGACCAGCTGATTTAGGAAATGACTGACTGAATTGAACCAATGTATTGGTGTTGTTAAAGATGTGTCTCTTCAGTATGAACCAATGGGGTTGGAGCTGAAAGCCACAGAGAGGGTAGGTGGCAAAAAAAAAAGAAGTCTCTATTGAACGCAACTATCTATTTTCCAAACTATCACAAGATTAACTGCTCATAATTACCAACCAAAGTAAAATTAGAGTAGAAACTGAAGACTATAAGCTCAGATAGTTGAGTGTGAGACGGCTGTTTCTCCACCAGATCTCTACATTTAGAAACAAGTCTAAAAGGTTAAAGGCTGCTGGCCTCAGAGGCCTTTTTTCTCTCTGTGACGGGGCTAAAAATACAGACAGAAAGTGCTGAGTCACGGCTGGTCTGAGAGGAGTGATGGGTGTAACTACTGCTCCCTCTGTCTCAGTGTTGAATCAGCCTGAATATGAACTCCTAACACATTAACTCATGACGTTGTACTTTCATATCTTTCTCCAGGTCTTTACTCACTCTACTCCACCTTCTTACTTTTAATCAATTTATTTCAACAAACATTATTTTCTTAAATTGGCATTATAATAAGAGGAGCAGTGACTCGTGTAATAAATGAGATAAAAAGCCACACGGGAAATTAAAAAAAGAGACTCTTCATCCCGACTGTGACAGCGTCTGGAATTAAACAGAGTTCCTGTTGATAAAAGCTATAAAGTCATTTGACTCAAGTTTTATCTCGACTACCGTTTATGACCATGAAGGCGTCTCTGTGCTGTTGTGATCATCACGGAATCATTTACTTACTTAACAATGCCAAATATTTGCTGATCGAAGCTTCTCAAATGTGAATTTTTACAGGTTCTCTTTGTCATTTATGATTTCAAATAAAAATATATTTGGGTTTTGGACAAATTATGCACTTTTTGACATTTAAAATTATATAAAAAAACAAATTAAAAAAAGAGCTGTTAATTAATTTACTGTCGATCGATCGCTGTCTATTCGCTCGTTCACATGCAGGTTTCTCTTCTGGTGTGATCTCTTTTTATTTATGCTCTCAACACACATAATTATCATTCAGAATCACATCATCTTCTCTTGCAAACGTTCTGAGGCCCGGTACCGGTAATCGACCCGGGAATTGGGAACCTCTGAAAATAACTACCCCCCCAAACCCAGCGCCCCGGCCCTGACCTGGACTGAGGCACCGTCTTGTCCACGAACAGGAAGATGGCCTTCTCTGAGGGCAGCTGGATGCGTTTCCTGATGATCCACATGAACTGAGCCACCGTGATGTCGGAGGGGACGAGGTACTTCCTCTTGTCGATGTCCACGATCTGCGACCCCGACACCTTCTCCACGATCACCTGACACAACGCACAGACGCCCTCGATTACAGACGTGAAGCGAAGCACAACACAAAGCAGCGTCTCAGAGGTGTCACTCACCGGGACCCGGTCAGGGTACTTGTTGCGGATTTTGGCTGATTCTATGCATCGATGTTCTGGTGGACAAAAAGCAGCGTTAATGTGATGGTTTTACACGAGAGACGAACCGGTGATGGACAGAGATCAATATTTAACAGCCGAGGTGAGAGATTCAAAAGGCAGCTGCAGAGGATCAAGACGACAACATCTCATCAATCCAGTCTCTTCATCAATAAAACATCAGCTCATCAACTCTGTGAGCAATCTTTGTAGAGGCGACTCTAGAACTGCAGAAAGACATTAGCAATTATTATTAAAGTTTCACTTTATTTCTATTTTATTATCTGAATTATGAATGAAAACGCTGCGTCATTGATTTTGAGGAATCGTTAACTGGAGAAAACTTAACTTCTTGCAAAATGCAGTTGAGCTTCTTAAAAATCTTTTAAAGACTTAATTACATTAATATGCACACCTTACTCCAACTGGAACAAAAGTTATACTTCTTTACTTCTATAATAGTACTTGTGTATGATGTTTGTTTTTCATCTATCCACTAAAAAAAAAAATTCCCCTGAATTTACTTTCTGATAATTAGAAAATTATTATCAAATCTTCTAATTTATATCACTTAGATTTATTTATGTTATATCTCATTCTTTATTTTAACTTTTTATTGTGATTATTATTATACTATCTTGTGTTTAGACTCATATATTTTATTGTAATTGTTATATTATTTCTGTTTGTGCAGACATACTTGGCAATAAACTGTTTTCTGATTCTGATACATTTTCTTTTTATACATTTAATGATGATTGTTGGACTTTAGATCGCATCTCTGTAATTGTTGTGCATGTGATAAATAAATAACTTGATCTGAATGAAGAACACCCTCTTCACATGAAGCAGAGGGGCTTCTGGGTAACGTAGTCTCAACACTGACACCAACAATAACACGTGGTGGAGATGCCAAATGCCAGTTTTTACACCTTTAACATTTAAAGCTGCTGCGTTTCAAAGCCCACATTATTGCTCACCAGCAGCATGTAACCTGTGCTCATCAATCGACATGTAAACGGAGCATTTAAGCTTCTTTTTAGAGTCTGATAAACACTGTCTGCTACCAGCAGCTAGCCTGTCAACAGGAAGTAAATGTAGATTATGAATGTTGAGCAATAACAATACCAGATATAATTTAGTTTTCAGATCAACAAATGCAAAGAATTGCTTTCTTTCTGAGTCTCAAATGTTTCATCATAATTAATGTTAGCATGTGTTCTACTTTAGACAAACTATGCTGTTTGAAGGAATCCTTTTAGGCATTTTAAAGCTAAGCAGGACATTTGTCTTCACTTCCGTGTAAACAATTTGTCGATTTATTGATTTAAAAGAAGAAAAAAAATCTGAATTAATTATATAAAATACTGAAATGTGAGATAAAACCAGCCTGCAGGCCCGCACTTCTCCTGCCAAAACAACGTTTGCTTCCTTCCTGTCAGGCCTCCAGTTTATAAAACATTGGCAGTAAAGTAAAAACTAATATTCATCTGTATAAAACAGACATCGCATCGTTTTATCCCAGCCGGATATAATGGAGGCTTTAGCAGCTTAACGTGTCAACATCCACCATCAGCCCGAAAACGGGTCGTCGTGTTGGGCTTGAAACACGAACAAAGACGCGATGGTTTTATATCTGCATGGACCCAACGCATCAGATATAAAGTGCAGATAGAATAACTGACTTTTGCATTAGCTGACATTAATATTTAACGGCTATTTAACGGCTATATTTAAAAAGCAAAGCCTCCTCTCTAAACAAAAGCCTGCAGGACAGGCCAGTCTGTGTCACCGACGTTATTGTGAAGGCATTTACTCAACTCTAAACCCGGATCTATTCACCCCATGCACATAAAGTAAACCAAACAACCAAACAAATATTTAACTGCGTGGACATTTATATATTTTTGTTGTCCATCAAAAACTGGCACCTCCCTTACCTAAGGAGTGATCCTCTTTGAACATCCATTTCATGTTTCCGGGGCTCTGTGTCGCTCGATGCAGCTGCAGATTATCAATAAATAATATATTTCTAAATGTACTTCTTTAAAGTTGTCCTCTTTTAAATTGTGACTGTTAAAATGGATGCACGGGACGGACACACAGCACAGCTGTTCGACACTAAAACAACAAACAACAATGTCCTCTTCACGATCAGACTACTGCCCAGGCGGTGACGTCACACCCGGACTGTTCCATTCCACCGCACACACGAGGGGGGGTGGCAGGAGAGAAAATGGGACGCTCTCACTTTTGTTACACTTAAATCATTCAAATCAAATACGAATATTTATTGTGGTGGGGATCTTTGATGTTTGCTGTTTGATGTTCAAAAGTCACGTTGTTTAAGTGGCATTTACACGGTGACCTTCTAAATTGGTTACCCTGATAGTTATATTTGGTCTTACCCACTGTGGAGAACATAAACACAACCATATCCGACAGCATCATGTAGCCAAAGGCTGCAAATAATTTATAAATACATTAGTTATATCACCGATTAATCCGTTGATTATTTTGCTGATCATTCAGTTACATTATTTTTATATAAAATAACAGGAAATGGGAGAAAACGGCCATCACAACATCCCAGAGCCCGACCATAAAGATCTTCAGTTTTCAGAGATATAAAAACATGAAACACTGGATATAGCCGGTGGTAAGTCAAAGTCTGCTCCCCCGTTGAAAGTGTTTTCAACACCAAAGTCCAATATCATCTTGCAGCGAGTCCCTGTGTCAAAATCTAGTTTTTGTTGTAGCTTACATTGTGCTAACATGGTTCATGATCATACATTAAATAAATTGTCACGATTTGATACACAGAAACCCTATAATAAAAGCCTAGTATAGTATACTATATCGTAGTATCATAGTATAGTATAGTAAACTGTTGCATAGTATAGTATAGTACACTACAGTGAAGTTCGGTATAGTATAGTATAGTGTCCTATAGTTTAGAATACTATAGTATTGTATAGAATAGGATAGTAGAGTATTGTAAAGTATAGCCTTGTATAGTATAGGATAGTATACTACAGTATAGTGTTGTATAGTATATCATAGTATACTATAGTATAGTCTGGTATAGTATATTATGGTATAACTTTTAGCCTTCAGTCTTCAGTGTGTATGCAAATAAAATGTTTTAAATCTGAATAGAATAGAAGTTCCAGTTATTTAAATTATTTTTATTTCAGTTTTTATTTCCCATATATTGGTATTAACATGAGAACAGAGAAGTTCTAGTTCCTGCAGTCTGGTCTGGCACTTCCTTCATCAGCAGGCTGAGCTTTGATCTGGTTGTCAGGCGGCAGCGGTTTCCCCAGATGGTGTCCTGTAGTGATGCCGTACGGCAGCGACTCTCGCTCCTCCCTCACTTTGGGCCAAAGCAGAAACCCCCCCTGAAAGCTGAGGTCAAACAGCTCACAGGGGGCAAAGGTCAAAGGCTTTTCTGCCAACAGTCCTTTTACTCGGGCTCGCCATCCGTCCAGCATCATGGCTCTCACCGCATGGGGACAGTGAGCCGGACTCCAGAATATCTGAGGGGCAAGAACCTGAAATCCACAGAAGTGCAAAGTGCCGTTCTGAAAAAAACAAGAGACAAATAAATAAGAGAGAGAGACAATTAATAACCGTTCACCAACACAGAACACATTTTAATCCTTGTGGATTATATCATTATATTTTGCCAAACAAATTAGTTTACAGCTGAGATGAATACAAGAGCTGCTGGAATCAGACCAGGAATGTTGTGATCATGTGGTATTTACCACACGTTCACCAGTACGCCCTTATGATTCATTCACAAGTACTATCAATTACAGTCTTATGTTCAACTCAACTTCTAACCCCTTATTGTCTTAAAGGTGCAGTGTGTAGTCTTTCATCTAGTGGTGAGGTTGCAGATTGCAACCAACTGAAACTTCTCACGTGTGCTAAGCTCGTAGGAAGACTACGTTGACCGGTGTAAAACCACGAATGTCCCTATCTAGAGCCTGTGTTTGGTTTGTCCAATGTGGGCTACTGTAGAAACATGGCGGCCGGCTTCGTGAAAATGATGCGTTCCAGAATTGAACGGCTCATTCTGAGGTAATAAAAACACAACAATTCTTATTTTAAGGTTATTAAACACTGAAGAAAACATTAATATTGCATTTCTGCTAATAGATCCCCTAAAATGCTTTTAGAAATATGCTAGGAAATGAAAATATTAACATCCGCATTGATGTGTTTTCATAGCAGTACAGTCATGAGGGCCCCCTCTTCATCTCTCTAATAGTTTAGCCTATTATCGGTGCTGATGAAATGATGAAATGCTTCTCTGATATCGTTGCTCGCTAAAGACTCAAATCAAGTGTATCATCTCAAATGTACTGTATGCTATATTGATTCTGGCACCCAACAACAGACTCTGATGTGGTTCGTGTTTGCCTTCAGCCCTTCCTTTGTTTTTTCCTCCAGCTAACACGTGAGGTAATAATAAATGAACAGTTGTGTTTATGTCGCTCACCTGTAGAGGCCAGAGGGCGATGTTGATGTCTCCATTGATCCCATCAGGCTGGAACATCGTCTGTGTTGCTCCAGTAGTGAAAGACAACATCGCTTTCTTATCCTTTAAGGAAACACAAAAATACACGTTTTATTAATACTATTAAACAGTGTTAATGATATATAATAGGTATTCATATGAGAAGTTTTAAGTGTTACCAAATGGCAATGTGTTTGTTTTAAGTCATCATTTTGTACATCTTGATTTGTTCATCAATTAAATAAATCAGAGTATAATAGTTGTTGTCGATACATTATATAATTTCTAAACAAATTATTTCATATTAAACAAACTAATGATAAAATAACATAATTTATAGCATTACTAATAATTTAAAAAAAAAATACATGAATATCGTTTCATTGTTTTTTTGCAGTAAAATAACTACTAACTAAAGTATGATTTAGTATTAATTTACCATTTCTTAATGCTGGTTCATATAAAGTGATATCCTCTGTGTATTGATTAAAGAGATGTGTGATGATGAGAGACACTGACCTTAAATACCCCGTTATTATACATCTTCTCCAGGGAGAAAGCGAAGCCTTGTGTGAGAACTCGGTCCATCCAGCCCTTCATGATGGCCGGCACACTGAACCAGTACAAAGGAAACTGGGAGAAGGGACAGAAGACGATATTTATCTCTTTATACTGTATTGTTTTATTCTTTCTTTGCTTGTTTTCTCAATTAAATCTGTGTTTTCAACACCGTAAAAAGGTTAAAGTTATAAACAAAAACACGGACATCTCCCAGATCGGACAGCACTCTGATGGAGACCTGTCAATCACAGTAAGCCCTGCCCTAAAGCATCCCCTGCTTTATGGTCTGTTTGACTCTAAATGGACCATAATGTACTAAATGAACATCATGCTGTATTGAAGAAGACTTGAAACTAGAGATTGAGACCATAACCTCATGTTTACAATGTTTACTGAGGTAATAAATCAAGAGAGAAGTAGAGTCATTTTCTCATAGACTTCTATACAACCAGAGGAGTCGCCCCCTGGTGGACACTAGAGAGAATGCAGCTTTAAGGCATTTCAGCATTGGCATCACTTTTCGGAATCCGAGTTTGCTGCCTGGTAGAAACTACAGCGATGTGAGTGACCTCTGACCTGGAAGATGATGAGCTCGGCCTCCTCTACTTTACGCTGCTCGGCCACGATGTCGTCACTGAGGCGGTCTTCCATCCAGGCGTGCATGGTCTCCTCTCCATACTGGAAAAGCGCCGGATTCTTCAGGTCACCTGAACACAACACACACTGTCAGAACTGAAAGGATATGTTTTTCTTTCTGTCAACAAATCCCATGAAAATACCAAACAGTGAATGTATCTAACACTTAGTGTGTGTGTGTGTGTGTGTGCACATCAAAGACTGATACTTCTTTTGTCTCTGCACTAAATATTCACTAGAGTGCCAAATGTGGATTAATCCGCCACTGAAAATAGTCCCCAACAAATGCTCTATTTCCTTTTGTTTGATTTATAAAAACTTAAAACACAACTGAGCTTTTTTGTAAAAAGTACTATTGTCTATTTGACAGTAAGAAAACAACAGAATAACACCAGCTTTATTCTTTCATTGCGTTAAAAAGACAACAGCATGACCCCTGATATCCAGAAGGGATCATATATATGACCTCTTGAAGCTCATTAGCATAAAGAAACAGTGACAGTGAGGTCACCGATGATGTCGCCCTGCGTGGAGTTGGCTCTGAAGTTCATGGCGTACAGGTCGGACACGAGGACCCTGTAGCCCTGCGACGCCAGCTCCTGCATCACCACATCACGCACCGCTGCGTTGAACGAACCCGGACTCTGGTGGGCGTACACGATCAGGGCCGTCTTCTGAGCTGTGTCACACACACACACACACACACACACACACACATATATATATTGAAAGACAACATGTTTTTTAAGTATAACACTGAGTAAAAGCAGTGTTTTTTCTAATAAATCATCCTTTATAATGTCAGTTTAGCAGTCAAAACTAACCGTTTGATTAATGGTTGAACACAAGTCTACAGTATTTGTACCTGCTACACCTTAATTTGTACTATAGACGAGCCCTAATGTTTCATTCAAAGTGCCAATAAGTGGGGTTGTATCGTTTATTGGCGGAAAAACTCCCTGTTACTAGTCGGACAAACACATTTATTTTCAAGCTGTTGTGTTCAGGTTAAAAAGGTTGCATAATGTTGCTTTAATTAGTGGATAAATAAATGGATTATGGTTTGGTTGTACTAAGATCTGTTTGACTCTAAATGGACCATAATTTACTTAGTGAACATCATGCTGTATTGAAGAAGACTTGAAACTAGAGATTGAGACCATAAACTCATGTTTACAATGTTTACTGAGGTAATAAAGTATTTATATGAGCAGAGATGGCAATAAATTGGTACCTTAAATCGGTCATTTGTATTTCTTTTTTATTATTTTAGCTGCAGATAGGGGAGGAGGATAAAACATCAGCCACAAAGATTTTACCCAACCTTAAAAGAGCTATTATTATAAAAGGTTTCTGACGAATCTCAACGCATCCTGATTTAAGCACTCATGAAGCCATTCGTTACGACTTATAAACAGAGAAGTATTGGAAGGTGGTTCAGGAGAAA